CGTCGTATATATATATATATATATATATATATATATATATATATAATTCGCAAGTTTTTGTGTATTCTATAATAATAAAAGGTAAATAGGATTGTAGATAAGGAGTTGCAATTATTAGAAGCAGTGAAGCTCAAGTTCATTAGATAAACTTGGATGTTCTGTTGAATTAACTTTGTTATGTTATTTTATTATATTTTAAACATATTTAGGTATCTATGCACTAGAGAAAATATAACAATAAATTATAAAATTAATATGAATAAAAACACGAAAAAATATTTCTTATTATAAGATTTACTAGTAATCTAAAATTAATAAAACGTGTTTTTTCCATTAATTGTATAAAGATACAATCCTATTACAATCCTATTACAATCCTATTTTCTAATTTATGATTTTCTATTTTCTATTTTATGATTAAATTATGCAAACGAATCTCACTCATTTTTTACATGGGTACAATATTTTCCTCGCGATTCTTGACTATCACGCTGCTATGGTGAAATAATGATAATTTCAATGGAAGAATTTATGCTTTGGAATAAACAATGTCACATTCGATAAGTGGCCAATTCATATTGTACTAATTCAAAAAGATGGCTACTAATCTTGCAATTGATTTATTTGCAAGACTTTCATCTTCATTCACTCGACTAAAAGGCTAATATAATAAATTCTTGTTTATGTAATTCTTAAACAATTGACCACATATTTCATATTACACATTATTTTACAAGAAAAAAGATAGATTCAACAGTATGTTTAATAATCTTCATATATATGTTTATATATATGTTTAAGTTCTGAAATTATTTTTTTTGTATTTTTGAAAAACTTGATTAAATCAGAGAAATGAATGTTATAACTTGTAAATTTACTTAAAAATTAAAACTATTTTTTAATTTCAAAATGATAATTATATTAGTGTAATAAATCTTGATAAATATATTGTTGTATATATTATATTATTAAAAAAATGTTGAAAACTAACAACTTGTTGCAAATTGCAATTACTTTAGAGATATAGATAAAAATATATGAAGCTTAAGTTTGTAAAGACATTTTCTTCACGAAGAAAATACTAGAATATATTTTTTCCTGTGATATAAAGAGAATAATACGTTCTTTGATTAAACTGTCACAACTAAGCAGGTCGCTTATTGCATGATTCTCACACATAAATGTTTAATGTATCGCGTTACAGTGTTTTAAACTGTACGAAAAAATTTCGTTGTAATACGTTTGTGCGATCGCGGTAAGCAACCGGTACCCTCTAAACCGTAATAATACCGAGTTGCTTGAACTTTGCAACCCTTTGAGCTTTAAACTGCTATACGTCTGCGGTACGTACCTCGATAAATATTTAAGCAGTCGGTTTCACAGAATCGATGCAACTCGGTTGTGGTCTCGAATACGAAACATGTAGCAAATTTCGTAAATCTATCCATACGTTGAAATAAATGACAACAAAAAGCGAAAGAGTTTCATACATATTTTATCTCAGTTCTGTTGCGAAGAAATTACAAAATAGGTTTATTACAAGGACAAGTCACTCATATATAAATTCTTCTTCGCGTACTATTTGACAAAATTGAAAAGAAACTGGAATATTGAATTAAGTGAACTTTGAATTTTACTTTGAAGCTGTTCCAATTTTCATTATTACTAAATTAGTGGAAAAATATAAAATGATGTATCAATTGAAGAAAAGTTTAAAAACATTTATTTTTATCTTCGAAAGTTAATTAAGTTATCGGTCATCATTAATTGTTAATTTTGATTTTCGCTGTGCGATTCCACGAAAAGTGAGAGAAATCAGTAGTTCGAGAAAATTAAGCGCGGATTGTTGAAGGCGTACGTTGCTCCCATGTTTTCGCTGTTTCCCCGCAGAACATTTTGCGCGTCAAATTTTTATCATCGTCTATTATTAGTCTACCGTAATCTACACCTCCTGACATATCGAAGATGCAGAGTACCTCGTGTATGTCGCGGCGCGTAATCAGGAGCGTAAAGGGGAGACTGAAACTCGATATGAAAAAGAGAGAGAGAGAGAGCAAGAACGAAGAGGCAGGATAGGGAACGTGTGAGAGAATAGGGAAGAAAGTTTGAAGAGGGAGAGAAAAGAAAGAGGCGCAAGAGAGAAGTTCGCGCCGACGCATATGTGACTGCGTAATTAGAGATAAGATAGGACCGCTAACGAAACCGTGGCAGTCGTTGAGTCGAAATTAAAGCCCAATTCAGACTGACGCGCGGATGTTTTGGCGGGTATTTAAATCTCGAGCTTGGCAAATCTGAGACATGAATTTGGAACTATGTTCAATTGAAAAACATACAGCAAGTAATAACGCGTATAAATGTGACGAAATACGCGCGCGTGCGCGATTATTATAAATAAATTATTTAATTGTATTTAAAGCTGTTAATTTTTAAAGATTGAAAATCAGATATTTTAAAAAATTATGAAGCGAAAAAAGCGAACAAATTCATCAAATTTTTTAAATAAATTCCATATGACGTAAGGTATTTGAAGATGAAGACAAATGCCGGTAACTTGAGGCATTCCGGGTAACATGAATTTGATGAGATGAGTCTGAATAAAGAAAAATGTAAGACGGCAATCTTGCTTACATCTTTTATTATATTTCGTCAATTTACGCTATGACTTGATTCATAATATATTGGAAATGTCCGCGTTATATGCTTTAGAAATATTATTTATTAATTACAGAAACTTTTACTTCTTTATTTATTCTTATCTAGTTATAATAAATTTGTCAAAAATTTAATTATTTTAAATTATTTTACATAAACACGATTATGTAGAAATTATTGTGAAGATTGAAGTTGTATTGTTAGATTATTAATGCAACTGTAACGTATTCATTAAATTTATATGATCCAGGTTTCAAGTTTTTACTTTGATGCTACAAAGTAGATAGCTTCAAGATACTTAGCATCACCTATAAACTGACATTATGTAACAAACTAACTAGACTAGTTTGAGTAACTTCGTAATTTTCTTTGAACAATCGTTTATATTGTTATAGTGCGTTTTCTGTTTTAATTTTTTACGTAGCTAGCATTCATTTGATCTTTATAAAAAGTTAAATTAAAATTTGTTGCGTAAAAAATTGTATCCAGAAATTTATTTTATTTTATTTTATTTATTTTATTTTAAGTATTTTATTTTAAGAAAAATTTTATTTTATTTTTCCAGAAATATTTTACTTTTAAACGTGTTTTAACCGTAATATGTATATAAATCTTCATGACTATTTGGCGTTTTTGTTTTATATTTTTAAAGAGCACATTGATAGATGTTAAATTTCTTGGAAATTTAGTATGAGAAATACGAACCGGTTGTTCAGATTTAAGAACGTATCATCTCACGGCAAGTAGCCACGAAGAAACAAAATTGGACTTGCCCGATTGCGATACTGAAAAATAGGCGAGCTGCAATAAAACTAGACACCAGGTACTGAGGTAAAACCGGTTCGTAGAAGGCTTTGGAGAAGGTTCGCTAGCCAAAGAGATATTGACGCCGTTGCGAAGGACAAGATTACGACTATCTGGTTCGCGATTGCGTGAGCCTTGTGATTTATGCGAGAATTTATTAAACCGAACCATCCAGTTTAATCAGTAGAACCATGATTTCCGGAGTCATCTTTAAATATGTTGATACTGAAGATATTTTATTATTTATTAACGACTTTGAGCTAAGGATTTCTTACATTTAAAATTTGCATTGTCACACGTATAAGGATAAACAGATAAATCTGTTTCTTAATTTACCAAAGAAGAGTCCGTTCTCGAAATTTATACAGGTTGAATATTGGCATTATGTTGAAAATATAATACGTGATACAATTGTTTTTTTTTTTTTTATTGCGGTGATGTGCGAGAAGTCACGTAAGAAGTTCCATGTGCCGCGATGCAAGAGTACATGTTTTTACAGAAATGCGCCGTGGTCGATGATAAAGTCTAAATTCCTTGCGGTTAGATACGCGTACCGCGTCGTTTTATTTGGCGGACATGAATACCGTTCTCTTCGAAATTACGTGACGAACGACATTACTCGAGGAACGTTGAACCTGAAACGCACATGTACGCCGCGCCGACCGAGTTTCAGAGACGGAGAGTTGGACGTTGCGCGTATCGTCGCGCAAAACCGTAGACGAGTCGACAAACAAAAATCTCAGATAAATCAACGCCGGTCGATGACTACTGACGTAGCGGGACCTATCCGGACGAGGCCAACGTCGGACGAAATGCACTTTTATCAGCGGCACAGGTCGACGAACTTGCGAAGGGGGTCTTCTGCACGGTGCACATGCGAGCGGGGGTGGGACGGCGAAGGGGAGGGCAAAGCTCGCGATGATTTCTTACGCCTAATCTTATCGTTGCGTTGCGCTCCGTGACAAATTACACCGACCCGATATCCATCGCCTTCGTGCCACGTCGCGTTCTTTTATGCGAGCGCGAAATATTGCCGGATGCTTTCGCACCGAAAACTCTTAAAAAGTTCTTTTTGCGTATTTAAACGTGAAATATTCGTGTATAAATAATATGTACTATCGGAACGATCAAGAAAATTTAGCGTTAAAATTAAATTGACGCATCGAAAAAAGTTCCTATCGCTTTTTATGCACTTCTTTTTTTGACATTGTTTAAGATTTTTATTATATTAGAAGAATTAATTTATGTTATTATGAACATCAATATCTAAAAGTGTTATGCTTCTTCGATGTAATTATTTGTCTTTTTCTCTATTTTCGATCTGACAGGATAAGATCTATTTAAACGAATGAAATTGTTGCAAAAAAAGTTTTATACATCATAAACACTTTAGAGAATGATTTTCCGCATCAAAATCGCTGCTTTGCATAATGCGTTTCAGGAAATGGTGATGTATTGTATTAACATGAAAATTTATGACAGCGATAAAAAGAAACTTCCAGTGAACAGATATTAAAATTATTAATACACAATGTGTGCCTTCTAGCTATATTAAACTGGTATGCGTTGTTGTAATTCCCATCTTAGATAGATAAATCTCATTTGTACGTATTAATCGTGTTGCGAAATGATATTTATGCAAATGTATAACACATTTAAAGGAGCATAATTGCTCTAATATATGACTCGTTTTTCCTCATCGGAAATTTATTATATATGTAAAGTCGTCTATTTAACGCGTTTTTTGGACTCTCTGTTTGAAAAACTTTGCATTTGCATGGCTCGGATGTCTCCCGAAGCCAGGATCAAAGCTATACGGACTCGCCATCGGCACGACGTCAAACACGTGCAGGCGTCGGAACGGCCACGTGGCCATTTGATGCGAGTCGGCTCTCGTTAGCCTAGGAAACGTGGATACACGTGAATTTGCGCTGCGAGAATAATCTGACTTTGTATATATATATATATATATATATATATGTACGTTAGTAGTGTAGTATTGATACTATTGCAATCCATTGTTAAACTATGCGTATAATCTCTTGGCTACTTTATGATGACGCTCGCTCTTAAAACGTTTAAAGATCTCAGACTTAGCGCAGATTCATCTAGATTAATTTTTTTATAATAGTTATAAAATATATGGAGACGAATGATCTAAATGTTCTATTGTAGTTTTGTCAACGAGAAAAAATTGGAAGAATAGTTTTTGAGAATATAATTTTTTTGAGAATTATTTTATATCCTTGATGTGATATTGATCAATCCTTCGGGGAATATTATCTTTTAATATATTTTTTCTTGTTTTCCGTTTATCTGCACAGCTTTGGAGACCAAAATTAATCTTCTGACATTAGTGTATGACGGAATAAACGAGATCTCTGTTATCATAACTGACAGATAGATTTTATAGAAACTATCTTAGGAATAGGGAGCAGTGAAATGGAAAACTTGAGGGGCACGAAAATAAGTTTTCCTATGACAAAATACAATTGACAAGCAACGTGAGTTCCAACGGATTGTTTCTTTCACCTGACATCTCTCAATACTTTATAGATATACCGTGAAAGTTGGAGAGACGCGATATTACAAACTCGATTCACCAAGCATACATTCGGAATTCATTTCCAGGTGTGTTATATACCATCTCGAAATTACATTTCGAATGATGACCAGTCATCATATTGCAGGTAAAAACACTATCAGCTGGCCTCGATGTAACGTTGATTAATGCTGTTTCAGCTCGTGTTACCGCGCGAAACCGCGAATGACCGGACCGGTTGTGACCGCGGCGGCGGCGGCGGCGGCTGCGGCAGGAGTCGGTGGTGTTCCAGTGGTGGGTGCCGGGGGCGGCAGGAGGACTTACACCGAGGAGGAGCTGCAGGCCGCCCTCAGGGACATCCAGAGCGGCAAGCTCGGCACGCGGAGGGCAGCGGTGATCTACGGGATACCGCGTAGCACTCTGCGCAACAAGGTCTACAAGCTCGCGATGGAACGCGAAAGGGACGCGTCCCTGACTAGCACCCATTCACACCCTCACGAGCCCGGCGCCCCAGCCACCACCACCACCACCATCACCACCACCACCACCACCACTACTACTACTACAACACCACCAAATACGACCCAAAACGCCTCCGCGACCACTCCGCCCCCGCAAGTGGACGAGGTAGGTTTTGGGGACAGACAACGGAAGATAGCTAGAAAGAGAGGGAAAGAAAGAAAGAAAGAGAGAAGGAAAGAAGAAAAGAAAGAAAGAGAAAGAGCGAGAGTGAAATGCAGAGAGCGGGGAGTGGAAACGTGCTACCGACACGTGCCGAAGTCTCGTCGGTCTTTCACGCGTGTCGGGTAGAAAAGCCGAGGATGCAAATTGGCATAGACAGCGACTGGGGAATCTCGTGAGGGAATGATGCGACGAGACATTTTCTTCTGCCGAGATAGCCAAAGCGACGCGCGAAGATGCTCCATCGTGTATCTTCTTTTATCTCCGGAGTTTTCGTTATCGATGTCCGATAGTTTTCAATCGGAAACGAGTCGATGGTGCGACAAAGATTTCGGAGTTGCTTCATTGACTCGTTTCAAATAACGCACAATGTCGATATTATCGTGTACTCCGTATTCGCGATCTATTGCGAGTGTCTGATAATCTTTAATGCAGTTATTTATATTTTAGTTTTATTTGTTGATTGTATATATCAGATTCATATTGATCAATGAATTATAAAGACAAGTATTATAAAAGTATCTAGAAAAAGTAAATTATTTTATGAAGAAATTTTATGAAGAAACATACTAATATCTATTGTGATTTGTATTTAATTTGTATATTGATTATTATATGATAATATAAAAAATCAATATGAAAAATAAGATCCTAAAAATAAATCACATTTCTAATCATATTTCTATTAAAAAAATTGTTATCAAATTGAATAATGAACTCATAGATAAAATTTGTAACAATTATTTGTCTTTACATATATTGCTACAATAATTACAAATATCTCATTGTCAAAGTTAAATTTCGAATAAATAATATTATTTATTTTTAAAATATAGAAAAATATAGAAAAATATAGAAAAATATAGAAAAATATAGAAAAATATAGAAAAATATAGAAAAATAAAATATAGAAAAATATAAAGAAGAATATCAATTAAGGAAAAAAACAATATAAAAAGAAAATATATCATCTCAAAGATATAAAATTACAATTATCAACAATTTTCAAAATCATTTATCAATATTACGAAATATTGTCAGGCACTTGAGAAATCATACGTGGTAAAATAGGCCGATTACCATGCAGAGAGACGTGGAAGGGTGGAAAACCGAACGATACACGAGGGAAATCTCGTCGGGAAAATTCACGAATATATACCATTCATTTGTACTTAAGTGTGGTTTTGGTTAGGAAGAACGAATGAAGCTTCCCCAAAACATACCTCTGGCACGGCGATCGTGGATCTCGCGTGGACCGAATGTATCTTGTATCGCTAAACGACATCGAATAATCGCACAATTCGAGTTTGGTCGACAATACCTGCGGTTGTTAATTTGAAAGTAGCTTTATTATAATTTATAACTATGTTAATCTTAAATTTTTGATAAATTCTGTACTTAATGATATATAATATTTATTTTGAAATTATTAATATAAATCTTATATATTATTCGTTTAATTCTTTTTATCTTTTTATTTTTATGTTATGGAAAACAATTCTGAAATTGTTGAATTGAATTTTCTTTGAAGAGAAAAAAAGAAAAAAGTAATATTTTTTTAAATAATGATTCATTTAGACAAAAAAATTGATTTAGGGTGAAGAATGTTGACGATAATTGTGCGTTTGTTCAGTGATCTCAGGCTGAAGGAAAGGAACGATGATCTACGCGATTCCGGTCGCCGTGATATTCCGTAGTGTCCAGTGTTTTTTTTGCATGGACTGTTTAACTTTTTTTATCTCACTATTTGTAGTTTAACACACGGCAACTTGGTGTCCGCGAGGTTGCAAGATTCGAGGTAAGTTTTTGGGAACGGTCGTGTTGAGACGAAAGCAGGATCTGTTCAGGCTCGATCTTTCTTTCGTTCTTTACGGGTGCTTATAGTCGCGCCACGGAATTCTTGAATGTACGCTTCTGGACCTCGATACTCTGCATCCTCGATGTATCGCGCATATAACCCTCCGGGTATAGAGACGTCCAATCAAATAATTGTTTCGAAATGGGCGGATCGTAATTTCAGTGCGAACGCGCCGCCATCCGTGAAACAATCGCGCGATCGAAGATTACAGTAGATTAAACGCGGTCCGATTTAATCCTCATCACCTGATAGTGTCTTTTGCCTTGATTCTCGATTCTCGATTTGATGACGATTAATTTTGCTTAGTATATGTAGGATAGGAATCGCGATTAGGGATAATCGAAGATACCAAAAATATTAAAATGTGCAAGAATTGCCAGAAAAATGTCACATAATAATATTCTTGTTTTACTGAAAATTTAAAATATAATATAATTTCGTTAGAAAAAGAGTTGAATAAGGTTGAAGGACATTATCATAAAATGTAAATTAAATATAAGGTGTTTACTATCTAATGCAAATCCTCTTCTTAATCGAGAAAATACTTTTCACTGCGTTTAATCGTATTATAGTTATTCAAAAATTGTAATTGTATCCGCACAGTCTGTTAGTTGTAATAATTGCTACTTAAAATCGTTTGCCGACTTTGCCTCAGCATGAGCACTAAGAGGCGCTATTTTATAGTACAACTAGCCGAGCTCGCAAGCACGATCTATGCACGAGAACGGTTAAAGTCTTATTTTTCGTACCTGCATTTCGTGCGATCGCGTATCGCGCGTTTATATAACGTAGCAACCATCATAGAAGACTGTTGCTTCACTTTTAGTGCAATGCATGCGCCTTAAACGAGTCCCGAGTGGTATCTCTGCACTTGAATTCCGGCGTATCTCGTCGAAACGCACGCCGAAGATAAGCTTTTCTCTACGCGAATTTTGCTCTCTTTTCCTTTTATTGAGGACTTGTAGGGGAAAGCTAGTCACGATTACCGTGCCGGGTGACTGTTGAGAATATCGAAAATGTTTTTCCTATAAAACACTTGCTGCTTCTTTGGAAGATACCGATTAGCAGCTCTCCTGCATGGCGCTTGGCTATTCTACATTCGATGGAAATATATGTATCGAGTTGTTTACGTAAAGTGACTTTGCTGTGTGAATATCTTACAATAAGTATTAGATGGAAAAAGGAAAATAGAAAAGGATATATATGATATATTCAATTTGATCCTCTGTGATCTTGTGTGAGGCTACTTCTTTATAAAATATGCTAAAGTTAAAGTTAAAGTTCGTGAAGAAGTTTTAAAGCATTTTTACAATTTCAAGATTCCTAGAATGTCATCTTAAAATAGTTAAAACCGATTTCTTTTAAAATCCGTTTGTGCAACATTTTCAAAGCTAAAGCATCTTTCCTCCCACATTATGTTTTTCTCCATTCTGATATCTTTTTTTAAATATACAATGCGGTCACTTTACGGGAAACACTTCGTATATATTTACATGAACAATTAACACCTACACACGATACAAATACACGTACACTCCGAACACACACCTCTCGATGAAGCACTCTCGAACAAGAAGTTGTCATTTACGAGCGGCAATGGTTGCTTAATGACTATCGATGATGAGAAAAGCAACGCTTCCATTCACGTCTCCGGAGACGGAGTGGAAGCTTCTACTTTTACTTTCCTCGAGAGGACAACTTGACTGTAATCTGCAATTTAGATGCTCTTTTGCAAATGAGAAATATACAGAAAACGCTAGAAGAGATGTTTTTAACAGGTGGACGACAAAGAATTATCCGGTGCGGAAGAGGAGAAAGAAGTCGAGAAGGCCCTGCTGAAGCCTCTGCTTTCGTTGGAGGATCTCGTAAGGTTTTCTACACTCGAGGGGACCGGTGGTGATTCCCTCAGAAACCTGCTGCAACGAGGACACGAGACAGGAGCTGAATGGCCGGGTCTGGAACACGCGAACATCGGTCCCTACATACAGAAGATGTTGGCTGCCGCTGCACCATTAGGTAAAATTAATCATCTCGTCGATGTTGCGGAGTGAGCTAAAGGCTCTTAGTTACGGCCTCTTATTTCTTATTTTTATCTTAGGATTACAATAAAATTTTAATCATTTATTAAAATTTTGATTGCAATTGAATTATTAATAAGTTTCACATTTTAAGAATTTGAAACAGATGTATTTTATTATACATATATAATGTGTGTGTTGATGCGTGAAATTAGCTTGTAAAACGATATACTCGTTAATATTCGGGATTTGGGTCATTTCCAATAAGCATTCGTTTATTTTGTCCACTAACTGACCAACCAATCTGCGTCAAGAGAGGAAAGCCGAAAAGTGTATTATGCTACAATAGGACTTCTGGAATCGATAGAAGCCAGGTCCTAGTTAATCAGCTCGCCGATATTTCCTCTGTCTTTGACGACTGCAATTTAATTTGAATAGCTTACATTTGTATTTGAAATTATGACAGAGAAAGAATAAAAAATTAATGAGAGATAATCACGATTTTTATTAAAGTTATTATTAATCTGTATTAAATCATTTTTATATTATTTGAGATACAGTCTGTACTTCTTCTAATATAATAATCTTCTAATAATAATAATAATAATAAGAAGAAGAAGTATATGTCTTTTTTAGTGTAATGTTTAAAGACATTAAATTTAATAAACATTTTTCTAATAAGATAAAAAAATTGATTTAATAGAATTAATAAAAAAAATAAAAACTTAAATTAAAACTAGAATTATCAGAAAGTTTCATTATTTTTAATCGTAATTTTGAGGTCCCTTTAACTAAATGACATTATAATGCTGAGTCGGAGA